GAGGAGGTGTGAGGGCTTACGGGTGCGGAGCCGCTGCCGCTGTCCCCGCCCCGGTCCTCGCACCCGCGGGGTGGCACCGGGCTGGCCCCAATCCTGCCCCGCGCACACCGCTCCGGCACTGCTGCGCGCACAGCTCCTTTCAGACTGAAACCCCGTAGAATAGACGGCAGCAAGTTGCTTTCGTGGTAGAGAGTATTGTTTAAGACGTTAGTGGGGATCGGACACGCACCGGTAATTCTGACACAGGTGGATGAACGGAACGACGCGGCACACAGCTCAACCCCCCCTTCTCTCAGTGGGTACTGGCTAAGGTCATCCAGGCTCAGTTTAGGGGATAAAACTCAAGCAGCCGTGATTTTCCTTGAATCAGGTCCAAACACCAGGGTGAGCGTGTCAGCCCTCTGCTGACTTCAGTTCAGCCAGGACAGAGCGAGGACTGATAACAACACTAACGATCTCCCAGCAGCAGTCCACAGCCCTCCCACGCACAGCGCTACTGGGAGCAGGTCCTGAACCCTCCCTGAATCCACTCCTGAATAACCAGCTCACGCCGAGTCCACGCGCCACACATGAGCTCTCTCTGCAAAGACAAAGATTACACACTTGAGCGCAGGCACATTCCTTCTGCTGCATGCAGACGTACCCTAAAAATCTGCTCACAATCCCCCTCGTTCCTCCAACCAGCAGCAGCTTGTCTTCGGCTGCCCTCAGTTTCTCCTTCAGCTTGGACGCTGGCCTCAGAGACAGCAACTGCCTTCTTGCTCCTGCTGCATGACACTGTTCTAGATCCAGAGCTGGAGACAGAAAGTCCTGGATGCTTAAAGGACAAAGCCCCACCATTAAACTTTGAGCACTTCATTATCACGCTGGACATAAGAAGCAGTATTTCCATTTGGCACTTATTGTCCTTTACTCCCCAATTCTGTATTGCTGTCTAGAGTTACAACAAAACATCGGGTCTCTTGATTTCCGCATTTTTACTTACATGTACAAAATTTAACAAATGTCTTGCATTTTATCTTACATATTCACACAACCAGGTTCACCTCAAAAGGAAGGAGACAGGCTGCTGTCAGGCTTATCAGATGCAAACAGCACCAACCATTTCCAATGACGGTAAGCCGCTACCATCACACCCTGTGCTGAATCTAACTGCCCTTGAAAACCATTTGCGCGCTCCCTCCTTTACCTCTGCTCTAACTGATGTTTTGGCAATCAGGGACTGCAGCTAATTGAAACCAAGCTGAGGTCAGGTGATAGATATTGGCAAGCCAAGAGCTCAGATTCTTTTTTCCAAGGGCTTAATCAAATTCTGTTGAATATCAACAGCAATATTGATCAGGTCATCTTGGAGCCTCAAGATGAATCCAACAGAGAGGCTCTTTCCCTGTCATCCTTCACCTCTACTTTCTTGCCACAAGGTAAAGCTTCTAGCTGTCCCCCTATGAGATACAACCCTATCTCATGGAGCACTAGCATGCATCTTATCTAGACAGTCAGTCCAGAACAAAACAAGCCGGCTATCTTTGTTCCAGCAAAAGTCTGTAAAGTCTTTCAGCAACCGATCAGCAAACTTCTCATCCCCAGTGGCACTGGACCTCCACGTTTTTGTCAGCATGGTGTTGTAGGCCCAGTTGTAGCCAATGCGCTCTTCACAGAACATGTTCTGGTTGGTGGAGCTAGTGGAGTTGCGCCGGCGTCGCTGCTGCCCACAAGAAAATTTCCGCTTGGAATATGGTAGCTGCAAAAACACTGTCCCTGGAGGAAACAGACAGGACTTTAGTCTTAGGCAGACCTAAGTCCCTACCACTGGTAGCTGACTCATTAAATTCTGAATAGGAAACCACTCTGAGTCTCATTTAATTGCCTTTTAGAAATACATCTTTCCTCCTTTGCTTTTACATGCAAATAACAACACTGGGAGAGAGCACACTTAGTCTTGCCTTTCTCTCGGTAGAAGGAAAGAAGCAAAGACTTAAGGCTCTGAGCCATCTTTCTAACTTCACATCAATTTCCATTCTCTTCTGCAATTTTCAAAAAGCTCTCTTCCTGTCATTGTCTTTACATCTCAGCAACCCCTCTGAACGTACTGTTATTTTACTGTAATATGCCACGCATGGAGCTTAGTTCGAAGTGCTGACTGCACCAACACTTATGAAGAATAATGATGAGAGCAAGTGGATCCTAAATGCTTCATCTATCTCCCACACAGTGTGTATGGGTAGAGTTGCATCTAAAACTGACCTCAAGCACGAGAAGAGAGCACTGACTTGTCTCAACACCTTTCCCTCCTTCTAGCTTCTAGATATACATTTAATTACACTGCACTTGGAATAAGCTCTGCCTTATTTTTTTTTATTTTTTTTTATTTCTCCATCTCCTGGAAAGAAAAGTTTCAAAGATGCAATAAAGAAAGATTTCAAATCAAGGTAACTGATTAGCAGCAACACTTTCCGCTTTTCCTACTGCCTCTCCAGTTTTCCAGTTTGTGTTGGCTGATACAGCTACTTGTCATCTGACTAGGGACATAATGGTGACCAACATCACTGACACAAAACACAAACTACCCATAAAATGGTTCTTTTATTTATAACAGCCTCCTCCTTGCCCCAACATCTGCCAAATATTGCTTACCTGTGACATGGATATACTGGGGCTTGTTCTCAGCTGGGAAGTTGAATGCAGAGGCCGAGTATTTATCTTGCACGAATCCAAATCTGGAGAAACAAACACCAGGGGAATTAAAAAAGAAAAAAAGAAAAGAAAAAGCCACTCCAGCTATGATTCCTTCAGCCCAAGGCAGGGGCACCAGGGAAAACCTTTCACTATCACAAAGGCTCCCTTTTCTTACGGCCTGAAGGCAAGGGGAAAAGGGATGAAGAGAGCTGAGCTTCTCCAAATATTCTCCGCCCCTGCTAGGCACAGTGTGAAAGCTTGTAACTCCACACTGATCTCTGTCCTAACTCGTGCCGGAAAGAAGAGGGCCAGCAGCTCAGTTTGGGAGGGCACTGAGCAGTCTCTGACAAAACAGGGCAGCTGCACACGAATGAGGGAAGAGTGATAGTCAAGACAGACATTCCTTGGGTATGTTTCAAGCTACAACATAATTTTTTTTCATGCTGGGCAATATTCCACGCAGAACTTCAAGCAGCTCACCTGACAGTTCTTTGCTGTTTCAAGAATACTTGTACATCTTCTGCTTTCTAAGCTAATGAAAGCTTATTTCTAGGCTGAAGTCTATTACAAAAAGCAGTCTCTCTATCATGAAAAAGACTTTGGCAGCAACACCATGAAACAAACTGGCAGCTCAAGCAGACAAAGGGGTAAGGCTAGATAGTCTTCAAAGTTTCCAACAATTCCTTCTTAAACTGGGCCCGACCTCCTACGTACAGCTCACATCCCAGTCCCCTGCCTATTGGCAACCATTGGTTGTCATTCAGTTCAAGATTGTGTTAAATACACACGAAGGAAATAACTGTCCCTTCTCAAAAAGAAATCTATTTACAGTCTAACTGCTTCTAAGTTCGAATAACAGGGCACCTTCCAAAGGCAACGCCCGCCCTAGGAATAGAGTATGGTTTGCTAATCAGTGACAGACTATCTACCTGCCCCTTGCACCCACAGAAACACCTCCAGGCACTCTAGGTACATTTTAGTCTAATAATCTGCAAGCAGACTTCAGAGGCAGACGGCACAGAGACCACACGACTCAGGAGTGACTATTCAGCATAGGTCTTCACCCTACATTATTCAGGGAGACACGAACTTTTCAGTCATTCCGCTCTGCACACACCTGTATGCTATCGCTTCCTGGAGGAGATGCATGCGCTCCCAGTATGTTTCTGGTTCAAAGCCTGAAACAAACAAACAGGTAACAATTACCGAGTAAAGCCACTTTATTTCCTTCTTTTTCAAGACTTCAGTTTTCCTCGGAAGACCTCTGTGCACTTTGTTTTTTCTAGCCATTTCTTTTAGTCACCCTTTTTTCTGTCAGCTGTCCCTTGAATGCCATCTTGTTAAGAGATGTTTCTTGTACACTCCAGTAGCAGATTCAA